AAAAACCCCTAAAAAAAAAAAAAAAAAGATGTCATGTCTTTGTTTGGGGGTCCATTATGAGTCCCCCTTTTGCTGCCTCAGCTTGTGCCCACAGATAATGGGGGTGCTTTTGCCCTTGAGTTGTGGACTGTCCCTACAGGGTGTCCAGAGAGGCCACCAGTGGGACAGCAAATTTCACCCTGTTTGTGACTTGATTATTACTATTTTTTAATATGGAAGATTTTCCGGCAGCTGCCAAGCTGCCTAACATCTGGCCTAGACAGGCAAGATCTTCGTGCTGGGCGCTCTGATGGGGGTGTGGAGGCTGCAGTTTGCTAAGCCCTTGCGTGTCCGGGCATGTTTGAGCAAAAGGGAGGTGTGGCAGCCCGCGGGGTTTTTGTAAATGGTTTTTGGAGATGAGCCCAGGACTCCGGGTCAATTTTTCTTTCACTTCCTGGTGACTTTGTACTTCGGCAGGGGTGAGGGTGGAGGGATCTAAATTCAACTGGACCTTGACACCATCAGAGAGAGAGAGTGATGGAGAGGAAAACCGCAAAATAGGAATTCAGGCCCTGGGACAAGATGCACACTTTGGAAATCATTTTCTTCCATTCTTTCTTTTCTTTTTTCTTCTTTTTAAGTTTTTGCTGTGGGGTGCGTGCAGTTGCCAGAGGGAAAAAAAAAGAGAAAAAGGGAAAGTGAGAAATCATCCTCCCCCTGGGGAGGGCAGGGAAAGGCTACACTGCCATCCCTTCACCTCTATTCTCTTCTCTGGATTTTGGGCACACACGCACATGCACCCGGTGTGTTTTTTCTTTCAAGCTGCCGGGTCCAGGATTCGAACTGTGCAATCAGCCATGTGGGAGTCCACTGCCTAAAGCACTGTGCTACTGGGTTGATCCAGGACTTTTTTTTTTTTTTCTTTTTTAGGTTTTGGCTATAGGGTACATCCCCTGACTGGAGAGAGACAGAGACAGAGAGAGAGAGTGAGAAATCACCTCCCGGAGGAATGGCCACAGTGCAATCCCCTTGCTTCCATTCTTCTCTTAGAATTTCAGTACACACGTGATCCAGGTGTGATTTTTCAAGCTGCCGGGTCTGGGACTTGGTCAGCCATGTAGGAATCTAGCACTTTTACCATCACACCAATTGTTGGCCTCATGGAATTAATTTCTGTTTTTTTTTTTTTTTTCGGAGAAGATGTGGTCTTTCCATATCCCCCCGGCATGACATGGGTAGGAATTCAATTCCAATTTCCACCATATTGATAGTTTTCTCCCTTCCAATTCTTTTTTAAAACAGTTGACAGTTTTTTTGTGGGCGAGAGGTGTTTTTATTCTTTTGTTGTTTTTGTTTGTTGGCTATAGGGTGCGTGCGCTCGCCAGAAAGACAGAGAGAGACAGAAAGCGAGAGATCACCCCCCAGGGGGGATGGCCACACCACAGTCCCTTTTCCTCCATTCTCTTCTCGGGATCTTGGGCACACACGCACACACGCCCGGTGTGAGTTTAAGCCGCCAGGTCCGGGACTCGAACCTCGGTCGACTACATGGGAGTCCAGCGACATAGCCATGACGCCAACTGCTGGTCCCAACAGTTGACAGTTTTTATTTTGTTTTGTTTTCTCCCACAATCCCCTTTCCTCCTTCCTGTCCCGATGTTTCAATGCCAGGGTGGTTCCTACTTCTGCCAAGCTGCTGGAGCAGTTGGGGACCAGGGTGACAGGTTTCCGGGAAACGTGTGCTCTCAGTCCTGGGCTTTCTCT